AAATAGTACAGAATAACTCCATCAATAGTACAGAATAACTGCCTCAACAGTATAGAACTACATCATAGTACAGAACAAGTCCATCAGTAATACAGTACTGCATTTGTAGTACAGAACAACTACATCAGTAGTACAGAACAACTGCATGAACAGTACAAAATATTACATCAACAATACAGAATGACAAAATCAATAGTATAAAATAACTCCATCAACAGTACAGAACAACTACATCATAGTACAGAACAAGTCCATCAGTAATACAGTACTGCATTTGTAGTACAGAACAACTGCATCAGTAGTACAGAACAAGTCCATCACTAGTACAGAACAACTGCATGAACAGTACAAAATATTACATCAACAATACAGAATGACAAAATCAATAGTATAAAATAACTCCATCAACAGTACAGAACAACTACATCAAGAGTAAAAACTAACTACATCAAGAGTAAAAACTAACTACATCAATTGTACATAATAACTATAGTAAATTAATAATAAATTTTAAGCCTAAACAGACATCTATAAGTTACAAATACACCTAGTCAGATGATAAGAGCTCTGAATGTAAATGGGTCATTACAAAATTTGATAAAATGGTGGGAATTTATAGATTTAAGGAGATTCTGCAGTCATTACTGATGTTAATGCAAGATTTGAATGTAACTTACCTACATGTATGTGGTTTTGAACTTATTTAAACAGGAGCTAAAAGTGATATTAAATTACAATACATTTAAAAATTTTCCATTCCCGAATACTACACAGCCAGTACCTGTCCCTTTTTCACATATTTCTCCCTACGCCTTTTTCTGAATAAAGTTAGATGTCTTATACTAAGTGTATAAACTTCATGAACTGATCACTAACCTTGGCCACTGTTTAACAGTGATGACAATGAAACTTCAAACTTTGGTACATTTGGTAGGAGGTTCAAGAGCATGCTGAGGACAAACACATCTTCCAGCTGAGTAACTAGAAAGTGCCATCTTTCTGTGTTTAAAGATATAGATTCCCATTCACTATCCCCATTGTCTGTATGGTCTTTATCCACACAGATCCCTTGGATTTCCTGAATATCACTCAGATTAGTTTCATCCTGCCTGACTTCCTGACTTACATTCTCATTGTCTAATTGTGTTGCTGAAGCTAATTGCTCCATTGAAATAGAGGCCAATGAAGGAGGATTGCTTGCCAGCTTGTGGTTGTTTCCAAGTGCTAAAGTAATGGCTACAGACTGGGCAATGATGGCTGCTGTGTAAGCTGACAGACTGTTAGTGGATTCACAGAGGAGACTCTTTACAGTTTTCCACCAGATAGGTTCACTTTCTCCATCACCACACAACAAGCTTTCATCTAAAGACACTTTTAATAAAACAGAATGTGTCATTAGGAGAACAATGGGTATTGTAAAGAATATTATAAAATATCATATATCTACAGGGTGTCCCAAAATTATTGCCCCATAATGAAATGAGACTTTTCACATGATCTGCTCAATGTATTGTCCCTTCCATCTCATTTACCTATGGAACACTGTAGTACTATTTCTCTACCACCAGTCTTTAAAAATCCTAAGAAGGTGAAAAGTATAAATTCCTTCTATTCTTACTGTATAATGCACACTGTCACATATCTAAGCATTCAAAGCACCATGATTTGACAACAGGAAGGTACAGTTCAGATTTTCTTAGTTGTGTTATATGCAAACATTATCTGTTTACTGTACAAAATATGAAATTTTATTATAACTTGTTTATTACAAGTGACACTTGTATTATAAAATGCAACTATTTTTTTCACATTTGAAAAGCTTTAGATCAAAAATTATCTAACTATATAAACTAAAACTAAAAAGTCACAAGTTATTGCAACCAGTTCTATATATCAAACTGGAAACAAGTGCATAATGTAATATATCAATGTACAAGAAAAATAAAAATTAGTTTGGACACATTGTCTTAGACAAATTTTTGGTTGTTATCGAAGTGATAACTAAAGGCTTGCCCAACTTACAAGACCTAGGTTAATCCTAATTTCATACGCTAAGCTAACAATACAAATAATAATGATCAAAATAATACTTGAGTAATAAGGAAGCAATTTATACTTATATAATAATAGGTAGGCAAACAATTGATAAGCTTAAGTAAACATTTTATTGATGGTGGAACATACTAAATGTTTCAACAGAACATTGATATGTCTTCTTCAGGTATGAAAATAACAACATTCAAAATTATCTTAAAAATTTTGATTAATAACATCATAGTCAGAATGCCCTTGTCAGCTACATTAGAAAATGTGTCAAGTGACTTTTGAATTAAAAATGCATGTTTGGAAATAGCTATATTAAAATCTACTTGTTAGCAAAAAATTGTTATTCTTAGAAATATGAGTCATCAAATACAACGTCATTTTCAAGCAAAATTGAATTATACATTATCCATCTTGAAGAATACTGTAAATCATCAGTTTTTTTAGTAAAGATTTTTGTTTTAATTTCATCCCACATATCAAATTACTTGAGGAAAAGATGGTCCAGCAGGAGAGGAAAACCCAAGTTTCTAGTTTTTTTTAGATATTTCATCCCCAAAGGTTCAAAAAAATATTTTGTATCTACTACTTAATATACAAGTTTAAAGTTTTCAGTTCAAAAGACTAGTTTTTGTGTTTGTATCTCAATTAACAAGCCATATAAATACCCCAATCTGTTTCATCAAGCTCCATATATTTCTTCATACAGATCTGGTAACATCCCCACAACCACACAGATCAGTATAAGCTAGACTATTTTTTTGACAGCTGCACGTCCTCTATTTTTGCACTTTATCTTGCAGTTACACTTTTGTTGCTTCAGCAATGCCTTACGAGCAGGAGTTTTAATGTTACACACAGGAATAAGATGGTAATTTATTAGCTTGCCAGTAAATATCAGTTACTAGTAGCAGTGAAGAGCAAGGCATTGTAAATGTTTTCCAAACATATGCCATGTAATGTGCCCTCCATCTATGAGAAACAAATGTATTTATCACTGGAGGTAAATGCCATCTTTCTTTACCTTTGGAAAACAAAATCTAGTGTAGTTCTTCAAAATGGTTAAGATTTGCATCATTTGTCTTGTAAAGTTAGCACGCATACCCTTTCCATCTGTCTGAAAACATGTTTTGAAGTTCAATTGAGCTTCCAAAATTTGTGAATGCATCCAAGATAGAATCATCACAGTCAAGAAAGGTTTGAGTTAGACTGCAAATACCTTTCAAAGAAAATGAGTCTGTACTGTCAGTGCCTTTGAAAGCATACCAAGTTATAAAAGCCTCTACCCTCTTCCTATCAAGTTTATTGTAACTGTCCTTAATCTTCAATCTTTCATCTGACTTTCTGATAAGACTAATTGCAACAAGTAATTATGAAAAATGTTCTATTAGTAGAACAAATACAACTATCTACAGAGAACATCTCAAGCCATCTATCAAGAACTTTGGGCATAATATCAAATGCATGAAGGAAAATAAGCTGTTCACCTTCTTCTAGAGAATGTTTACCATTTAGTATTTCTAAATATTCAAAATATTGGACAGCTGATAATTAGCTTTGATACAGGTGTGGTAGACAACATTGTTCATAGCAAGAAGATTTTTTATAAGTAGCATGTACCTGGTTAATATCAACAGTGGTCTGTTTTAACAATGTTTGTTATCTCAATATCACATATTACTCTTTCTATTACCTGATCTGATACCAAATCAAACGATTCCAGATGTTTTGTTTCCTTTATTAGGCATATTTTGTGATAATTCATATTTTAGACAGAAGAACCTTTAACTTCAGTTGGAAGAGTCAATCTGGCACACATGTTACTAATCTTCTTAATCTTGAGGAATTTCTCTCCAATGGCAAACATTATGTAAGAAATACTCCAAAACTTTTTTACTCCAAAAGATTTTTTATAAGTAGCATGTACCTGGTTAACATCAACAGTGGTCTGTTTTAACAATGTTTGTTATATCAATATCACATATTACTCTTTCTATTACCTGATCTGATACCAAATCAAACGATTCCAGATGTTTTGTTTCCTTTATTAGGCATATTTTGTGATAATTCATATTTTAGACAGAAGAACCTTTAACTTCAGTTGGAAGAGTCAATCTGGCACACATGTTACTAATCTTCTTAATCTTGAGGAATTTCTCTCCAATGGCAAACATTATGTAAGAAATACTCCAAAACTTCTTCGCAAGAATTCATTTTTCTTGGTCAAATACTTTCTTTGTTTCCAAAAGTGTGTTCTCTGTAGATTCATTTTGACTTAGTCTTGCTCAATTTGTAGCTGCTTTTGTTTCAATCTCATTACAGATATTTGTTTTCAGTCAAATTAGCTTACTTTTGTTATACAGAGTTGTTTTGGCAAACTTAATGTTCTTAGTCCTGCTCCATGTTTCAACATATTCACTAAGGAGGTCTCATTGTTGAGAAATCAATAATCACATTCAATGAAATGTTGCTCACTTGACAGAATACATAACCTTTCTTATTATAGCATATTATACACTGTACCATTATTCACGTTATTTACATTCACTTCATCTATCACTTGTATGAAGAAAATCAAAATTTTAATATTTTATATCACAATAAAGAAAATTGATACATAGGCCAATTGAGACCTATTAAAGGCTGAAACCCAAACTAAAATAGTCTTCTTAAAGTAAAGATGAAAACAGGCATTACACAAATATCAAAATGAATACCAATGCAATAATAAGCTCTCCTATTTAGGCCCAACTTTAAAATGATACCAGATGATTTATCATCACAAGACTGGGGCTTGTATCTAGCCTAATTCACTATAACAAATACTTTAAGATTATAAACCAGGAAAAACCACCAGCTTTTTACAAAAACATTTTCAGTAACTAACTTTACCACAATTTAGCCACTTTTTATAATAAATGTTATTTACTTCAGCATCTTGTACAGATTAACCTTATGTACTAACATTTTTTGGCTACTAAAGCCAATCACAATCATTATCCTTTCAAAAATATTGATCTTACACATAAGATTTAATGTAATTTAGTGACCTCATCCTCACATCATGATGACATCATCAGTTCATTGCTAAGTCAAAAAAGTCACAACTGCAAATGAGATTGATCATATTTCCTCTGTGTAACACAATTCAGCACACAGCTTTGGTGGTGTAGATTAAAAAGCAATCGCTGGTGAAATCTTTCCATATTGCAATATCACAATGATGCCATACTAGTTACCCACTATTACCAATTTATTATAATATACAGCTGGAAAATATGCACTTTTAATCAAAAGTAACATAATTTTGTCATACAGTTGACAAAATATATCTTGAGTTTTTATCAAATAGATAACCTTGAAAAATAATCAATTTGATAACATCATATTTTATATAAAAATAGATTTTATTTACTTGGCAACAAGATTAAATAGTTCACTTCAGTGCAAACTATAAAAATAAATTAAAAATAAATTTTTGAAAACTTTCTAAAGTAGCTATAAAATATCAGCTGCCTAACTATCAGTGAATCTAACTTCAAATAAAAATGGAGAAGGTCACTACTCACAAAATGCAAAAACACTTAACACTAAATGAAACCTGAATATATTTGATACATAATCATGTATTTGCAGTAGTACACAATAGAAACTGGTTGACTATACAAAAAAGGCTACCCGTGACAAGTCACTGATTTCAAATATTATTGAGGTATTTTCATTAAAAATGAACTACACGTGTAAATTGCATACTTCTTCTTCTTTATGAAATGTTCATTTCATTTTTTAAAACTATCATTAAATACTGGTGATTAATTAATTCAGACTGGATAATTTTTGTGAAGTATAATTTTTAAGTTAACTTTTTACAAGCAGCTGATCAGTTGTTGAATTTTCAGTATATATATACTTACTGTTTGTATATTTCAGTAATTCTATACCAAAAATCTGATGTGTAAAGAAATAATGTAACTTTATTAGTTTTGTAGTACATGTGGAACTTATATGTAAATAAATCTTAATATACGATGTTTATTCCTATACAGTCATGTTTTTATTTAATCATCTTTTTTCATTATATGTATATATATATAAATGTTTAACAAAAAATAAATATATTAATTAATGTAAATCATGTAGTATAATTATTAAACCTCAAATATTTTCCCAACTTTAATAAAGTATGCAATTTAACGTATTACCTGCATGAGATGTAATATGCTTAAGGAGGTCTTGGAAAACAAGCCATTGTTTCCATTTGTTTAGGCTAGTTGTGTGAGATAACCAATATATAAGGAGGATTTCCTAAGAAAAGAAATTATACAATTACCAATGTTGTTTAAATATGAAACGTATGTCAAAACTACTTTTACAAAATTTTAAAACATCAGAAACAATACTTTCTTAGTGGTATCACTATCTATTCATGATGTGTTCTACTTGAATACAGTTATCAAACAAAAATGTAACTTTGAAAAATAAGCTTTCAAGAAATCTTGAGGAAGTGTAAAAGATGTGCTGGGTTCCTGTCCTACAGAATATAAACAGTTATCTGAAACTATACTTGCTATTTTTACAGTGGACATACAAAATGAAAATAAATAGTTCCCTAGTATACAAAAAATACTGACATTTTATTAGCTGATCTTTATTTTACTATATCATGTCATTTCAGCTTTCTTTTATGTAAATACTTATTGAACTATTAAACAAAACATTGTAAGCCTTTTTAATTTCTTCTTACTATATTTAGGTAAGGAACTATTTATCTAGGTGAATATGTTTACTTGAAAAAATACTAAACAGAAAAATAATTACACCTAGAAATAAAGATTTAAGATTTTTCTCCAATATGATAAAATAACTCAAATTCCCTTCCAAGAATACTGTAATGACAAAGTTAAAGTTTATTCATTATTATCATTTGGATTAATCTGACAATAATAAGAAAAATCCTTCCCTTTTTACCTTATGTAAACTTAAGTTCTAAATACTTATATAAATATATCTGATGCAGGTATAACTTTTAATATATTAATTTTCAAAGCTTTGTTAACTAATCTAGGTCCAGTATTTACATCACCTACTAAATGGCCTACATTTTTTGTTTAAACAACAACTGAAGAAGAGCTTTATTTTGAAAATCAGTAAACTACTGCTAAACATACCAGTAGTTTTTTGGGTACAATGCCACTTTTCTTTAATGCATCATGTAGTATGGTGTCGGAAGTTTCTTTCGATTGTATAACAGCATGAAACAAGAAGTCACCTGTAATACAGATGGTATGTAATGTGCTAAGAACTTCCAGGTTTTTTATCCAATACAAAAAACACAATAAATCTTTCTACAATTCAAACAAATAAAAACACTTGAAGCTTAAAGGGCAAGTACAGAAATCCTTTACATGGAAACTGGAAGAAACATTTTAATTTCTATTACTAGATACTTTAAACAGTATATACAAAACAATGTAATAGCAAGTCTAATTAAAACTATTTCATCAAAATTCTTGAAGAAAATATTTTGCAAGAGCTTCAGCAATACCACTATTTCCACAAATACTAAAAAAAGTAAGTATTAAGACAAATTTTTTTTTATTGACCACTTTGAAACAGCAGAAAATAAAATTTATAAAACAGTGAATCTGTCATACTAACATTTCAATGTTACAGCCTTTGCAAAAAGTTGATCAGGGTATTTTCAAGAGTTAATATATATGAAAAAAAAAATTTTAAGGCACGAGAATGTTGAAAATAAAGCAGAGATAAACATTTTAAATCTTCTAATTACCAACCTATTTATATACCACTCACTATAGGCGATGTCCACTAATTACATCATATTGAGTATTTTTATGTTTTTTTCCTGTTACAGATATCAGTGTGCAGAACTAACCAAACAAATAGGTGAAATCCCTTACTTTCTGTGCAAAACACATGTAGAGTCTCAGCAATAATAAATAGGATTAAATGAAATATTGACAGTATTTTTGATTAAATCTGTGTGCGATTTATGTATTATTAAGAACCCTATAATTAAAAAAGCCATGGAACAACAACAACAATTTTGTGTTTAAACAGTTTTGAAAAATGTTTCCTAAACAGTTAAAAGCCTATATGGACCGGCTCCATTGGTAATTTTAGAGTTAATGACTCACTGATTATAAAAATACTGTAAATGATACTGATGACTGAAATAAATAATTACTTTTTTATCAGAAACTTCAACTTAAATACAAATATATGGGAATACTGAACTTGAATATAACATTAATATAAAAAAAACGTTTTCACAAATATCTTAGTATTTTCCAATAACTGCCATATCCTTGAAGATGAAAAGTTGCACAGAATTTTCATACTCAATGAGTTTGTTTAAAATTCAAGAGAAGCCAGATATAGTCACCTATTTTTTTAAAGTCAGATTCAGAACATGCAGGATGCACCGTAATGGGTAACACTGATGAGCCGTTCTCAGTGATATCTTCTTTAACCAAATGAGAGTAACTAAGCTGAAACAACCTCAGAAATTTTGACAAAGTCATAAGAATCTCTTGGTTGTCAGCAAAGGTTACATGTTTACCCATGGAATAGCTTGAAGTCTGATGAACAGAAGCAAGTGAAACCAAATTCCCTACTTCAGATTCTGTTAAGTTGAACACTGATGAAAAAAGCTGGAAAATAAGTCAACATACTTGCATAAAGATAATGACATAACAGCTACATTCAAAACCAGAAATACATTTTTAATGTTAATCAATGAAACAAGGCAAGCTTAGTGAACTCTGATATGAAAATAAATTAAAATACAGCCTCCATTTAACACACACAGTCATAAAATCACATCTACAAAAGTACAAAATACAAATAAAATATTTATTTTCAATTAATAACCACAATAAATCACCCATTAATTAATTCAACTTAAGTTCTCTGCTCGAAACTCTTAAGCTAACAAATATCTGCACTTCCACAATAAATGGAATTTTCCTGTATGAAAAAATTAGAAGCTGTTTTTAGAAAAACATGTGAACAGTATTTCATAACCTATTTTACTTGACTGTGCTTTTGTTTATGGACAATTATAAAACACTCATATGTTGGAGGGATAGTTTATTACTTTATGAACTGACTTCAAAGTATGACCAAAAAAATTAAACCTTTAACAACTGCATGTATTATAGATAATCTTGTGTGAAGATATTTACCCTATCTTTAAAATAAGGATAGAATAGGACCTAATGGGAATTTTTTACTTTGTTGTATTATATGCAATACATAGAAGTATAGTTTTCAATCAGCCCAAACAGACAAAATACTAAACTCTCACCTGAACATCTCTTGGTTCAGTTTCTTCATCACAAACTGGAGATTTTTCTGTTTGTTTATTATTGATACCTTCCACAATTCTATACAAAGCCACTAACTGTTTGATTCGCCAACACATCTGAAGCAGCACTTTACTTTCAAAATCTAACTTCTCTGGGTCTATAAAAAAAAGTACAAGCAACTGAAAGAAACCTTTTAAAACATCTCATAACAAAAAAAAACACTTCTCTATCATCTTTAACTTACTTGACTGATAACCATAGGCATTGCTAGACACTGGCACACAGAGCCCATGCTCCGATTCTATTTAACCCCTTCCAATGTTGGCATCATGGAAAGTTTTGATTATCCATATGATGATGCCACTGTTGGCATCATCATGCTTAAGTTTATAATTAAGAAGGAAAATATTCCCTTATGCTTATCAGAGCATTATTGAATGTCTCATAATACTCTTCAATCTAAATGACATCATTTTTATTGACCAATCAGAAACTTTCACAAAATAAGTGATGCATAATTGACTGAAGTAATAACGAGGTAGTGTCAGCAATGCGGGTGTTGATTAAATGGTAACTAGCTATAAATACATCTCATTTAGCAAACATTTATGAATTGTTTGAGTAAAATAATATAAAAAATGTCAAATGATGAGGTTATGAGTGACAGTGGTAGTGAATATGTACCAGATGAAAGTGATATGTAGTTTGACAGCAGTGATTATTCAGATTGCAGTGATAATTTTCAATTTCAAGACTTGCCTCAACCGAATGGAATGGCTGGAGGATGGAAACATGTTCCTAATGTGTTTGATGATGCTATGTCTTAACTGGAGCCACCATTAGTGTGTAATTTCAGTGGGATCAACCCCACAGCTGGCTTTTCAGATAACATGAGTGTTTTAGTGTGTATGAAAAGGTTTATTATGAGTAAGGTTATAAATCATACTGCTTTTTGTTTAAATGATAAAGCAAAGGCTTTTTTGATGCTAATCCACAAGCTAATAGAATTGTATATAGTATCAGGTTGAAAGACATCACTGAAAATGATATATTTTCGTTTCTTGCTCTTTATTTTTATACTGGAATATGTAAATATACCGATATGAACCAGTATTTGGCAAGAATGCACTATGAACCGGGCATTCATTTTTTTTGTGCTGCCATAATGAGTAGAGACACATACATGTCAATTATGAACTTTTTATGCTTTACCAAAGTAAATGATGTGAAAAAAAATGTACCTTCTACACGCTTGGATGCTTTTTGTGAGCTTTTAAGAAAAATTTTGAGGAAAAATGGGGATGAGGGTGAACATATTTCAATTGATGAGGCATTAGTTTTATGGAAAGGATGGCTAAAAACTAAATGTGCAAGATTTGGCATCAAATTATTTGTCATGTGCAACAGTGAAAAGAATTGTTGTGGATACAACTATAACTTTAGGGTATACTATGGGAAAGACCCCAACAACCAATATTCTTTGCCTGACATTGAAGGAGTAAATGAACTTGCATCTAGTGAAAAAATAGTTGTCCATTTATTAGATTTTGTTCTTAGACAGGGGCATCATGTAATCGTGGACAACTGGTATGCAAGTACTCAATAGGCACACTTTTTGGAGATTCAAATATAACGATGACAGCAACAATTCACACAAATAGAGAAGTCGCAAAAGAGCTTGTTAATGAGCATCTGGAGCATCATGACAAGGCTTTTGTTTGTAAAGACAATGCTCTGATAGTGAAATGGAAGACTGAAGAGCAGTATATGTGATAACCACAAAATATTCAACTTTTGTTGAAAAGAATAAAACTTACTTTGGGGGGGACCAGAAAATTTTACAAAAAACCATACCACATAGAAAAGTATAATGAATACATGGGAGGAGTTGATAAAGCAGATCAGCTGCCGGAGCCTTTTGACACAAGTCGTAAATCCCATGCGTGGTTCAAGAAGCTAGGCCTACACTTGCTGATGCGTATGCTGCTAAATAGTTTCTTGTTTACAAAAATACCATAAATGAAAAATTTACTTTCAAGTGGTATATCATAAAGGTCATACAGCAACTGGTGGAAACACATAATTCAGAAGGAATTGCTACTCGAGAGAGATTCATTACCAGCATTCCTCATGCAGGTCAAAAACAAAAGCCTGAAACACCTGTCCATGCTTTAGTTCCTATTCCACCTTTGCCTGGTAGTTCAAATATGCATCTAAAAAAGCAATGCAGAGTGTGCTTTCCAAAATGGAAGGAAACATGAAAGTGTTGTAATGGATGCCCTGAAAAACCAGGCCTATGCAATACAGAGCACTTTGAAACATGGCATAATAAATAAGATTCTTCTAATTATGTAAGTTTACTTCAACAAATTTATATATTGATATACTCATATATTTTTAAAAGAGGACACTTTATATTAGTCATATGTTTATAAATATGCTTATAAAGACAAAACATATAAAAATTAATGACTTTATTGATAGATAAGTAAAAGTCATTTTACACTACATACGGCAATTTTCGCGATTTGTACAGAAAGGGTTAATGGTGCTGCAAATCCCATCATACTGAAACACTGAAAATTCCCACACCTAGTGACCCGATCCCCAAATCTTTTAAATACCTAGCGATGTCTCTGCTGATAACTAATATCACCTATGGGTATAAAGTCACTTTATAAAGGCTTTATAAGATACAAATACAAAAACTAAACAAATCAAAAATTTTCTAGTCTGAAATTTTACTATACCGTATTTCTATTGTATGTTATCAAATTTAAAGTCATAAATGCATTTGCAACATTTATTCAAAACTTTTCAATTCAACATAATATTTCTTTAAATATAACAACTTTATTTACTTACTGTCAAAAGATTTAAAAAAACTCCTGTAGTATGTTTTAACTGTGGAGATCATAATGGTTTGATTATCACTTACTTCAATGCAAGAGTGTCAAACACATGCTTTTGAAGGCTGTATCCCAGCCATTCAAACCCTACCCTTCCATAAAAACTGTCATTTTAAAAAATATTTTGAATATTTTTCCAATTTCATGTTTTGTTGTTGTTTTTGTTGGTAGACAATAAAAATATTAATTAAAATAATTAATTATTATTCTAATATGTCATTAACTTACAGCTCTTTTATTTGAAAATTTTTCATAAAAAATTATAATTTTATTTAGCTTAACAGCTGTTAATAATTAGATTAAAATACAAAAGTGTACAATAAGTACTGTGCCAATAATAACCTACAACAGGTATCATATGTCTACATCCTACCTCTTCAAAGAGATTATTAAAAAAAAACCACAGTGTACAATAACTAACCACTGTCTGCCCAGGACTTACCTTGGTTCTGAAGATAACTGTGTAAAGTGGAAACTATCTCACTGATAAATTCACTAGTTACAAACTTGTTGTGCAGAATGATTTCTACAGCCTAAAAACAAAGAAAAATGTGATGTGTGTATAAGTTTCTATATGCAAACTCTCTAAAGTGAAAACAGTTCACAGCTGCTAGTGCACTATTCAGTTACTTACAACTGAAAGAACACCATTCAATTCTAGTTATTGCCCATATTTACAACTGAAAGAACACCATTCAATTCTAGTTATTGCCCATATTTACAACTGAAAGAACAATATTCAATTCTAGTTATAGCCCATATTTACAACTGAAAGAACAATATTCAATTCTAGTTATAGCCCATATTTACAACTGAAAGAACAATATTCAATTCTAGTTATAGCCCATATTTACAACTGAAAGAACACCATTCAATTCTAGTTATTGCCCATATTTACAACTGAAAGAACACCATTCAATTCTAGTTATTGCCCATATTTACAACTGAAAGAACACCATTCAATTCTAGTTATTGCCCATATTTACAACTGAAAGAACAATATTCAATTCTAGTTACAGCCCATATTTACAACTGAAAAAACAATATTCAATTCTAGTCATTACCTATGTTTACAACTGAAAGAACATTATTCAATTCTAGTTATTCCTATGTTTACAGATGAAAGAACATTATTCAATTCTAGTTATTATCCATGTTTACAACTGAAATAACATTATTCAATTCTAGTTATTATCCATGTTTACAACTGAAAGAACA